TTGACGGCCGACCCTGCTTGGAAGCCACAGCCCAAGAGAACGATTGACCGAAACAAGCGAGTCCTTCTTGACTGTGACGTACCGAAGTCTTGCAGACTATGCTTCGGGATGCCCCGTTATACTGACAGTCCTTAGAAGGAATGATAGTACCCCGCCATTCTCATTCCTATGAGTGTATAGTATCCTGACAGTCTTTTGTTGTACTGGTGCTTGAGTGTCTGTGTTCGGACACCTGCCCGAAAATGCACAGCGGCAGCTGTTTTGAACAGGGGCTTCGCTTCGTGGTTGTGTGCGAAGCTCCAGTTAAATTATTTTACTTCGAACATTCCCACCTTAGGGATTTGGATTGGGGTTGGGCATTTCAAGGAGTCTCTACGGTTGGGCACTTCCAGGGAGTCTCTGGGGTTGGGCACTCCAGCGAGTGTCTGGGGTTGGACACCAGGAGTCTCTGGGTTGGGCACTCCAGGGAGTCCCTAAACTGGGCACACTCCAGGAAGACTTAGCTCGACTCCAAACTCTGGGGGCATTGCAGGGCCTGGGAGTCTCTGGGGTTGGGCACTTCAGGGAGGCTCTGGGGTTGCTTTGGAGTCTCTGGGTTGGGCACTCCAGGCAGTCAGTTGTTTCATAAATTAACAAAGCCCTTGATCAACTCTCAAGCTAACAGTTAAGGCCAAAACCGGGAATTTGACTTCCTCGAGGCTGAAACCACCTCAAAATCACATTTTCCAGGCAGGAAAAGTTGTTTTTGATGGTTTTTGGCCCGCAATTCGGTGTGCGCGGACCGAGAGTCAGCTGTTTCATTATTTAACGGTAAAAACCCTCGATCAATCCTCAGGGCCTCAAGCTTAAAGTTAAGGCCTAAACCCCGTATTTTCGGGAATTTGACTTCCTGGAGGCTGATATCACCTCAAAATTCCATTTTCCAGGCAAGAAAAGTTTATTTTGATGGTTTTTGGGCCGCAATTCGTTGTTCGCGGACCAAGAGACTCAGAGAGTCAGCTGCTGCGTAAATTGACGGCAAAAAACCCTCGATCAACCCTCAAGCTAAAATAGTTGAGGCCAAAAAACCCTGGTGTTTTCGGGAATTTGACTTCCTGGAGTCAGCTGTTTCATTAATAAATTCAAAAACCCTCGATCAACCCTCCAGCTCAAAGTTAAGCCCTAAACCCTTGTTTCCCTTCCCTGCTGAAAACAGCTCAGGATCGCATTTTCCAGGCAGGAAAAGTTGATTTTGATGGTTTTTGGGCCGAAATTCGATATTCACGGCCAGAGACTCAGAGAGTCAGCTGTTGTATAAATGAACGGAACAACAGCCTCGATCAACCCTCAAGCTAAAAGTTAAGGCTAGACCCTCGTGTTTTCGGGAATTTGACTTCCTGGAGGCGGAAAACAGCTCAAAAACACATTTTCCAGGCAGGAAAAGTTGATTTTGATGGTTTTTTGGCCGCAGCTGCGTAAATTAACGGCAAAAAACCCCTTGATCAACCCTCAAGTTAAGCCCAAAACCCTCTTGTTTTCGGGAGTTTCGACTTTCTGGAGGGTGAAAACCGTTGATTTTGATGCGTTTCTCTTGAATTCGGTGTTCACCGCCCGAGAGTCATGCCAGCTGCCTACCTCGATGGGTTCATTGGCTTGACTTTCTTTAGGTAGGCTGTCCCTGAACAAGGCAGGGAATCAGAGGTTTAGACGCGCACTCGTCTATCGGCTCCCTGATCTAATCTAACGCGCCAAAGATTTCCTGCGCGCAGGCCACGCTCGCAGTGAGAGTGACAAAGCCGATGACCCCCCTTGAAACAAATTGTGCACTGACAAACCGGCACACCGGCTGTGCCCCATGAGTGTAGCGTAGGGGTATTGCAAGTGAAAGTGACAATGACTGACAATGACGATGGGCTGCAGGAAGTAGTATAATGATATGCGAACACCAACGCCCATTGCAAGAATCTCAGAACAACCCTACCACTTGAACGGCTTCGTGCCCGAGGGTATCATGTAACCCTCTTGTTCTATTCAGGACAGGATATCATTTGACGAGAGGAACATTCATAAATTATGTTTTAGGGTTTGTGCACTCCAGGGAGAGTCTGGGGTTGGGCACTCCAGGAGTCTCTGGGTTGGGCACTCCGGGGAGTCTCTGGGATTGGAGTCTGGGGTTGGGTTGTAGGGGTTGGGCATTCCAGCAAGGCTCTGCGGACCAGGAGTGGGTTGGGCACTCCGAAAAGTCCCTGGGGTTGGGCGGAGACTCTGGGCGCACTCTAAAAAGATTGGGCGCAAAAGAGTCTGAGGGCACTCCCAGAGTTTCTGCGGCTGCAGGGAATCTCTTCCAGACTTTGGGCACTCCAGGGAGTAGAGTTCCGGGCGAGGAGAGCTGAGTGTAAAATCTCACAACCCCACACCGAAGGTGCGGAACAACACTCCAGATCGAGCTGCGAAAAGGAACGTGTTACATGTCCGCAGGATGCGCAAACCCCAACTCAGGAATCACGTGGACATCTGAACCTTGATCACACGAAGCCTGATTCTCTGTACTGCGGGAGGGCTTCAGGCCCAAAAGGTTGTTTCCCTAAACCCTATAACCCTGAACCCTATAACAACCCTAAACCCCAAACCCAAAACCCGAAAACCTTCAACCGTAAACGCCCGATCTTCTCCCATTACCCATCCCCGATCCTCCTAGCACTCCAGGAAGTCTATTGGGCGCTGCAGGGATTCTCTGCGGTTGGGAACTCCAGGGAAACTCTGAGGTTGGGCACGACTGTAGGGTGGGGCACTCCAGAGAAACTTTGGGGTTGGGAGACTCTGGGGTTGGGCACTCCAGGGAGACTCTGGGGTTGGGCTCTCCAAGAAGACCCTGGGTTGGGTCTGGGTTGGGCGCTGCAGGCAGACTCTGCATTTGGGCACTTCAGGGAGACTCGGGGTTGGGCAGTCCAGAAAAACTCTGGGGTTGGGCACTCCAGGGAGACCCTGGGGTGGGCACTCCGGGAGTCTCTGGGTTGGGCAATTCAGGGAGTCTCGAGTCTGCAATTGGGCAGTCCAGGGAGTCTCTAGGAGTAGACCGGGCGACAAGAAGAGTTCCGGGCGAGGAGAGGAGTTCCGGGCGAGGAGAAGAGTTGAGTTTAAAATCTAACAACCCCACACCGAAGGTGGGGAAAACAAAGCACTTACCGTGGCTGCCGTGGTGACGGTCGTGAGAGCTTCTTTGCTGATCCCGATTTCACGTGGGCAACAGCAGCACATTCATCAACATCTGCAGCAGATATTTTCAAGTAGCCCCGACTGGCCATGTGAAGCATGAAGTTGACAGTAGCCCGGTCACATGAGCACGCGGCAGGTGCGCAGACACCCTTTGCGAGCCGGCAGAGGTTCGAGAGTGGAACATCCAGCCGCTTGGCTCGGGTTAAACGGTCAAGAGTTCGGTAGAAGAATCGGGGTAACAACTGGCACCCAGGCTTTCTTATGGGCTTCTCTCTCACGGCTGCTTGTGGTAGGGTGGAGTGTGGAATGTGACTACAGACTGTAGCTTGGGCCATGGAATGGAGATCAACCTTAGCTTAAATTTCGTACAGTTTTCCACGGAGGTCCCTGCCGGCCGACGACCTCTCTGTGGAGAATGGCATTCTGGTCACGCGAGGTTCTTGCTTCATGCTCTGCAAAACTTCGACAGAAGAAGTCGGCAGGAATGAACAGAACAGCGCAGGAATCCGTTGTGAAAGAAGAGCTGGAAGGGGTTCCCATTTTTTGAATCCGTTCCATGGACCAGTGTGCATGCACTGCGTTTTGAACTTTTTTAGTACAATGGAGATGGCGGGCGTAAACTTTAAGGAAATACGCGCGCATTCGGGACCATGCAGCAAGATGATTCCACCAAGAAGTAAAATGAAGGCCTAGCGGCACGGGCCGGCCCCTGCCCAGCCAACAAAACGAAACCTTGAACCTTGGCATCTATCATCTTCACGCCTACAGGTTGCTGGAAGGGGGGGTAGTGGGCGGCAACCGGAGACTGAGATTGCTTGAAAGGTGCTGGTTGCTTTTGTCCCTAAGACCTAAACCCTAACGCCTGGACTTCTCTCTTCTTTCTCTTTCCCTCTCTCTTTCTCGGCTTCCTTTCTCCTTCTCCTTCGCTTTCTCTTTCTCTTTCTCTCTTTCTCTTTCTCTTTCTTTTTCCGTTCACCTTTCGCTTTGTCGTTCACATTTCGCTTTCTTCTTTTCTTGCTGGTGCTGTTGCTCTGGCTCTCCCCCCAAGATGAATTTATTATCTGTTTCGCACCTGCATCAGGAGCATCAGCGGGTTGGTTTGGCAGCCCAAAAGCCATCCTAAACACGCGTTTGCCCTCGAACATCCTGAAAGAAACGCTATAAACACGAGTTTTTGTCGGTTGCGAAGCCATTTGGGTAGGATCAAAGCTGGCCCTATGCAGCTAGCGCTTTAGTACGACGGGGGCTCCACCCTGGACCATGTTACGTTGGGTGGGGAGGCGGATTAGCCTTGGCATGCGTCGGCCAAGCTCAACTGACCTCCACCAACGCAGTATCGGGTCCCACGACTCCAATATATCCACATGTCTAACAAACTGCTGACAACTGGAGCACTTCCTGGAAGAGAGCCGCAGCCTGACCTTATAGGAGTTTCACACAATCATTAATTGTAAACGCTTGCGCGCAGCCGGGCCGGCCTAGAGCATGCAGGATGTGGAGGTGGGGGGGGTGGTGGGGGTGGGGGGTGGGGGGGGGGGGGGGGGGGTGGGGGGGTGGGGGGTGGGGTGGGGGGGGTGGGGTGGGGGGGGTAGGAGCGCCGACACAGTGGTCAACAGGGCGGGGGGGGGGGGTGGCGTCACAAAATTTTGCATGGGGAAGGGTTGATCCGAGTCTGCTTGTTCCAGACGCTTTTCGCCAGCAAGCCGAGGCGAATTAAACACCCAGATCCTCGAACTCTTGAGCCAGGTCGGCGGTGGCCTCTCATGATCGATCCCCAGGGCCAGGGCAACCGTTGGATTCGGAACATGAAGAAGGAGCGGGTGCCGAGAACACAAGCGGCGGATACAGGCTTGGACAACGTCCTGCAATATGGCATTCTCTGATCAAGCTTTATTCCGGCCGGACACCTGAAAATTATCATCCTGAAGCCGGAAATCTCAAACCCTTATCCTTTCAAGGTTGTTGTTGTTTTTTGGTTCGGGGCGTTCGGGCAGGGCGGAGGGGGGGGGGGGGTGGGTTCAGACCTCATCAGGCGTAGTTGCTTGCAGAGTAGTTCAGTCTGTCACAGCAATGACAAGAGAGAAATTCAAACAGACGCACATACAAACAGAAGCTGACAGAATCTGACGTCCTGAGTGTCTGTGGTGCGGCGGAGGACAGCGGACTAGGCATCATCAAGCTCAGCACGCCTAACTTCCTGCGAACAGTGGAGACGTGCATCCGCGAAGGCTGGGGAAGAGAGTGCTGAAGCCAAAATGTCGCTACTACTACTACTACTACTACTACTACTACTACTACTACTACTACTACTACTACTACTACTACTACTACTACTACTACTACTACTACTACTACTACTACTACTACTACTACTACTACTACTACTACTACTACTACTACTACTACTACTACTACTACTACTACTACTACTACTACTACTACTACTACTACTACTACTACTACTACTACTACTACTACTACTACTACTACTACTACTACTACTACGCTACTACTACTACTACTACTACTACTACTACTACTACTACTACTACTACTACTACTACTACTACTACTACTACTACTACTACTACTACTACTACTACTACTACTACTACTACTACTACTACTACTACTACTACTACTACTACTACTACTACTACTACTACTACTACTACACCCTTTATTCCCACTGCCACTACCAGTGTCACTACCAGTACCACGACCACCACCCCTCACGAGTACGGGACTGTAGGAGTTACTTGACCCTGCCGCCCTCAAAGTCAGGAGCGCAACTCTTGGATTTTGTCCATGTTTTGACGGTTGCCAAGCCCAGTTATTCCTGAAAGAAGCGTTGGCGGACAAATTCCTCAACAAGGAGCAGGAAGGATCCCAACACCTGAAACACGTGATGGTCAACGCTCGCGATTTGTTTTGTGCAGCTTAAACCACTGCGCGCTGGAAGCCCCTGCATATCCTGCATCTCCTGTCGCCCCAGATTTGCACGGCTCCTTGACAGGCAACGCTATTCTCTTGGAGAATGTTGAAGAGGCCCCCGGGCGATGAAATGCAGAGCTAAGCTCAGCTCTGGCCCTTCCTCGCAACTGTGACGCGTATACAGAATTTTGCCTATTTGTGCAGCTCCTGTGATCTTGTCGTCGTGGATAGGGAAGCCGGGGATGGGAGACTTCGGAAGCTAGGCTCCTCGGCTCCATGCGGTGATTCTCGGGACTCCTATAACCACTATCTCTGCCTGATGGTAGGGCTTCAAGTCCAAATGCGACATCTGATATCTACTGTTCGGCTTTCGTGAGCTCCATTCACCTCTCAGAGCGCTCCCCTGTTATTCACAGAGGTTCCACGGCGTGGGGTGGGGATGCAGATCAGAAGAAAACAAAAAAAAAAATATATATATATATATATATAGGTATATATATATATATATAAATAGAATACTTATACTATATACACCATAAAAAATATATATACAAACATATATATGTATATGTACACCTACGGCGGGTGTGGTGATGTGATGTGGTGATGATGGAATGACGTAGCCGGCAGGTCTTGGACCCTTCCTTGGAGCCCGTGCTGCTCAAGCAGGCAGCTATTCGTGGCATTCTTACTGGGGTGCTCCTTAGACGGAGCGAAGCAATGTGACAACCTTTCTGTTGAAGCGCCTGTCATGGACGAGGAAGCCGTCGAACATCAGGCGTCTGGAGTACAGATCGAGAGTGGTGACTCTGAGCCGTCCGCAGGTCTTCAAGAAGGGAGGCCAGCTACTGCTCCGACTGGGTAGTGAGGACGTGTCCTGCACTCAGATGGCCTTGTGCCCTAAATCCCTAAAACCATCTAAAAACCCTTCCGCCGTAAGCCGTTCAGCCCTAAAACCCGAGCCCCTAAATGACGTCTCGCTTCCACCCGAATACCCTCCTCCCCGAAAAAAGTCCCCTCCCCCCGCCCCCCAGGGGATTTTGTCTTAATATGTCTGTTGTTTTGAAGCTTCGTAGTATTGGATTTACGTAGTGTTTAGGATTTCTCGTGGGTTCTAAGTATCAATAGGGGCACAAATATGAGGCCCTACAATGAGAACTTTCAGTTCTTCGTGACGACGAAGATGGCGAATCCGCACTACCTCCCAGAGATCTGCATCAAGGCAGGGTACGCTAGGCTACAGGAGGCTCTTTGTCTCTATGCGTCGCCTCAGCCTTCGCAACTCCAGTTGCTAGGTGACTGTCATCAACTTCACGGTGACGCTGCTTGGGCTGGAGGTGCGGCGGAAAAGCCCAGAGGAGTTGGTGATTGGAACACTGGAAGTGTTTTCTTCTAGGTGAGGTCACAGCTGGGCTGCAGAGAGCTCCTTTGAGTGCTGCGCAGCTGTGTTTCGACTTGAGCCAGGATCAGCTGGTGGCTGAAGTTGTCAAGAATGAGTGGCTTGGATCTGCTTTAGATTTCACGGAGTCGCAGGGGGTAGATGCAGTGTAGGGGAACCTCTGAGATGCTTCCGCCATGTTTGGACTGTGCACTGGAACTCAAGCTCCAGCCCACAGCCCCAATCCACAAGCCTTCCGGAATTCAGGCGGCCGGACTTGTCAGAGCTGCGTGCAGGGCTTGTCGTGCAGATTGCTGCGGACAAGGCGCCGCGAGAGTACGCCCATTCAAAAGCGGGGTCCACGGAACAAGCGGATCACAGCGGCCACCGGTTGCTGGAACACGATTCCTGACATACTGCAGCAAGACTATGCAATGTGCGCGCTCTGTATGTCTCCGTAATCAACTGTTGACCTCCAAATTGAAGAAATCGAGCTTCTGATCAGCAGAACGACAGCCTCAAAACATCGCATGACGTAGTGCTTCATGATCCGTGGGGAATAGCATGAAGTAGCGCTCGTCTCGAGGATTCTCGCAGAAAGCGAGAACCCTGAAATCCATGTCCTTCGTCGATGTAGTTTTGACCATGGTTCTAATGGCTCCTCGAGATCGTCACGGATAACCCGAGAAGTTCCGAAGAGTTCCGAAGTTCGCAAGCGAACTGACGTTAGCCCAAATATGCCAGCTCAATTTGCCAGTTCGCAGGCAGAGATGGACCGGCTGGAACAGCTCATCCTCAAGCTGCTCAGTGAGGCAGCGAGCCAAAGGAAAAACACTTGACAGCGACGTTTGCTGCTCCTCTTTAGCTGCTCCTCTTTAGCTGCACCTCTTTTGCTGCATCCTTCTGCTCTCTTGCTCCAGGTTCGGTTAGTTGTTGCGCAGTGGGGGGAGATGGGCAGAACCAGTACATACCAGTATGCAGAGTTCTGGAAACACAGCTGTCAGCAGGTTCACGGTTTTTTTTTTTTAAGAACATGTCATTCTCTGAGTGGGAAGTGTCTCTCGAGGCTTTTTGGGATTGTGCAACTTTGCATTAACTTTGCATTAACCTTGCATTAACTTTGCATTGTGCTGAGGCTGGGGACGACCTTCTTGCAGATGATACGTTGATCGTCACGCTCGATCAGCGGGAGCCTCTGAGCCCATGAGCCGATGTTTCGACAGGGGATATGAATGTTACATTCAATGTTGTTCACGCATGCTGCTAATGCTGGCGGTTTCTGTCAGCCTGTCGTCTGCAACTAGAGATCACGCGGCCCAATTAGCACGCTACACGGCCGCCTCGTCTTAGTCTGCTGGGAGACCTGGCTAGCAAACCAGTTGATGCGCCGCCCGGGCCAAGGGGGTACTGCGACATGGCGCTAGGCAGCGCGGGGCTGTCAGGGAGGAGGATGTGTCGAGAATTCTTCCATAACGAAAGATGCTGTGCGACGTACCTCGCTGTGCACTGTTGTGCACGTCCAACCGAACAACGGATGCTGCCCGAATCGGGAACGACGAGGAAAAGGTCGGGAAGCACGACGCTGGCACTACTGAATCCTGCCCAGAGTCGGGAAATGTGCTGGGCTGGGCCCACTCCGCGCTGGAGTCGGGGAATGAATGGAAATGAATGGAATGAATGGAAACATGAAGCAGCCTGCCCACTTGAACTCCCTCGACGTTGATTAAGCAGAGACTGTCGCTGAGACCGCAAAACGTCAACTCAAATATCGTGCACGGAGCTTCAGAGTCGTTGAACATGGATCACTTGTATAACTTTAAATGATGCTTCCTCCTTGATTCCCGACTCTAGCCCTGGTTTTCCGACTTTGTGTCTTTGTCGTGTTAAGCTTGTTTGAGCATGCGAAGGTCGAAAAAGACTGGGGATGGCTGCAAGGACCTTGTCGCTCTCTGTGTGCGTGGAACTGGCAGCATTCTATGCCGAAGCTAGAGCAATGGTATTGTGACAGTCATAGTGTCACAAACGCATTGCATGCTCCTCGTCAAAGACTCGATGGAATCGGCTGACCCTGGCCAGGAGCGAATGCTTTCGGCTGAACTAAGTATGAAGGAGATTGACGAGGCCTCGTCGCGTAGCAGTCTATCAGGCTCCTCCTTTCCATGCAAAACGAGCACACCGCAAAAATTCCGTCAGTATCCTCTCCTCCCTCTTCGATTCTCATCGCACTCTCACCATCTCCCGCTCTTTCTCGCTGTAGCGCCCCCTCCCTCTCCAGCAATATGTGTCTTGGCCAGGTGACCGAGGTCTTAAGGCCGTGTGCCACACGGGCCTCAGTGATCTACTTCGTCGTGCGAGCCTTGGCATTTGTTTGCCAAAGTTGCTAAAAAATCGTTTTTTCGACTCTGTTCTTACCTGTCGAGCTGTAGTCGAGAATCTGGCGGTTCCGTTACATCGCAAAGGGATCCGACGGACTTGAAGCAAGCTGCTCAACAAACCCTTCAGCTCACCTTGCCACCCGCGCCGGCCACCCTCATCGCCCTCAGACCCCCACCAGGTCCACCCACCCACCCACCCACCCACATACCCGCGCACGCACACACGCACCAACGCACGCACAGACACACAGACAAACAGACAAACAGACAAACAGACACACAGACACACAGACACACAGACACACAGACACACAGACACACAGACACACAGACACACAGACACACAGACACACAGACACACAGACACACAGACACACAGACACACAGACACACAGACACACAGACACACAGACACACAGACACAGAGACACACAGACACACAGACACACAGACACACAGACACACAGACACACAGACACACAGACACACAGACACACAGACACACAGACACACAGACACACAGACACACAGACACACAGACACACAGACACACAGACACACAGACACACAGACACACAGACACACAGACACACAGACACACAGACACACAGACACACAGACACACAGACACACAGACACACAGACCCACAGACCCACAGACCCACAGACCCACAGACCCACAGACCCACAGACCCACAGACCCACAGACCCACAGACCCACAGACCCACAGACCCACAGACCCACAGACCCACAGACCCACAGACCCACAGACCCACAGGCCCACACGCACACACGCGCACACGCGCACACACCCACACACCCACACACCCACACACCCACACACCCACACACCCACACACCCACACACCCACACACCCACACACCCACACACCCCCACACCCACACCCACACCCACACCCCACACACCCACAACACAGACAAGACCAACAGACACAGAGACACACACACAGACACAGACACATGACACAGACACAGACACAGACACAGAACACAGACACAGAACACCACAAGACACACACAAGACACAAACAGACCACAACGCACACACCGCACACACACGACCACAGACCCAGGACACGACACAAGACACAGCACATCCACAGACACGACACAGACAACAGACACAGACACAGACACAGACACAGACCCAGACACAGACACATACACAGACACAGACACACACACACACACACCACACACAGACACACACACACACAGAGACACACACACACACACAGAGAGACACACACACACACACAGACAGACACAGACACACACACACACACAGAGACACACAGACACACACACACACAGACACGACACACACAGACACACACAGACACACACAGACACACACAGACACACACAGACACACACAGACACACACAGACACACACACACACACACAGACACACACAGACACACACAGACACACACAGACACACACAGACACACACAGACACACACAGACACACACAGACACACACACACACACACATCCCACCCATGCACCAACCCATGCACCAACCCACCTATGCACCACCGCACCCCCCATCAGGTTCAACGCGTATCCAGGCCCCAAAGTCCTTGTGAATTACGGCCTTCGAGTGGCAGTAGGCAATCGCCGAAAGGGTATGCTGCATGACCTCGAGCATTTTGCAGAAACCTCACCCCTCGACGTGCAGCAGGCAGCATGTGTGGCCTTCGCTACCCAGAACTCGTAGGAGATGGCATCCATGGGCTCCAGTCGTTTGACCTGCAGCCGAGAGAAGGGGGTTTACAAAATAGGGGACCCCCAATATACATCCCCAAAGTAGTAGGATCCCCTCATTATCAGGATCCCAATAAACTCCTAACTTCGGAAACCCCCAGAATCGTCGTTTGACTCGAACCTTCCGAACTGGGCATCTGGCGTACGCCCCAAGATCACCGCCCCGACATTGCTCCTCGCAGAGGCATGGCGCGAAGCCATTAAAAAAAAATGAATGGCAAGCCCTACCCTCCGCTCTACTCCGTTGCACTGATGCGACATATTGCGACATTGCTGCCCATTCGGGAGTCCATGACAAGGTAGAAGTTCTCGTCGTCCTCGAAGTCCTCGTGAACAGCCCGCACTACATATCGCGCCGAGGGCATGCTGGCGCGCAAGGCTCCAGAAGCTATCTGGTGATTTCTCTACGTTGTGGTGCCTTTTGGGATCCTTATTATAAGGCGGCCCCTCTTAATTTAGGGTACCCAATTCGAGAAGCCACCATCTGATGCTCCAGAGATTTGTGCTTTCGTGCCACTCTTGACATGGCTCGTGGTGCCGCGACAACTCTCCGCTTCGCGGCCGCATCACCCGGTGGGCATGAACATGCCCGAAAACCTCCCCTCTCTCCTCAAATATTCTGAGGACATGGGGATGATCGAGCTGCTTGAGCACAGCAAACTCCTCGCGGACCTCAGAAGCCACGAGAGCGAGCCGTGTGAAATGCGCGCGCACCGACTTGCCAGGATTTCGCCTGCTTTTTTTGCAAAAGCCCCCGAAAAGCCGGAGGGCTCACTTTGCGTCGGGGGGGAGCCTTGCTACTGCCCACTCAAGTGGCATTGCCCTGGGCCTTAAAGCCAGAAATCGGGACTACTTAGATGATGATCTGCGAACGACCGGCCCAAGCTCAAGCAAGTATTGGATCGAGCTGCCTTGGCTTCCGATGTTTTGGCTTCCTTAGCCTGAATCAGCGACGCCAAAGCGAATCCAAATGCAGGAACAGCTGTGAATAGCGCATAATTATGC